ATTTGTAGCTGCACAATTTATTAATTCAGAAAACCTAACAGTGAAAGTTTTCCTGACGATCTGTGGGTCAGTTATAAAAACCCAGTTCTAAAGAACAGATGGCACACTGAATCCCCGCGTCTTTTATACACAAAGCGTGAGCTTATAAGATACAGTTTAATGTGGTCTTCAGGATATAGTCCATGAATGCTGATTAGACTGCTGGGCAGATTTTACACTATTTTTAGATAACAGAAAGCATTCAGCAGAGTAACCATATCACTGAAATTGTTTAAATTCTTAAAATGATTTTGTATTAGTTTTGTAAATAAAAAACAATCTAATTGTATTCTCAAGCTAAAGCTTTATTTTAAGAATAAGTTTCAAAGCGAAATGTGGCATTTTTGGGGAATATCAGTAAATAGCTAACCAAAACACCCTGTTTGTAAATGAAACATTTCATGATGTTCAGCTAAAAACATAGAAACATATAATGTGATGGCAGACAAGAACCATTCGGCCAATCTAGTCGGACAAATTTTCTAAATACTTTTATTAGTCTCTGGCCTTATCTTATAGTTAGGTTAGCCCTATGCCTATCCCACGCATGCTTAAACTCCTTTACTGTGTTAACCTCTACCACTTCAGCTGGAAGGCTATTCCATGCATCCACTACCCTCTCAGTAAAGTAATACTTCCTGATATTATTTTTAAATCTTTGCCCCTCTAATTTGACTGTTCTCTTGTTGTAGTAGTTCTTCTTTTAAATATAGTCTCCTCCTTTACTGTGTTGATTCCCTTTATGTATTTAAATGTTTCTATCGTATCCCCCCTGTCTCGTCTTTCATCCAAGCTATACATGTTAAGATCCTTTAACCTTTCCTGGTAAGTTTTATCCTGCAATCCATGAACCAGTTTAGTAGGCCTAATACCGTCTGACAATCATGTAAAACAAAGTATACAAAACAGTGTCACTTAAAAATTTCATATACAATGCAGACAATACTGCATTTACTATGAATTCCATTTTGACCTCAAGAGGTCACTGTAATGCAACAAAAAGTCTAATTTAAAATGAAGGTCCACGTGTTTCAATCGCACCATGTCCTGTGCTGTAAGTATTTTTTTTTCCCTCAATGCAATACCAAAGACAAACATGTATTATTATAAAAGTGTTTAATTCTGCACTTGATAACGTCTTTGATTTTTTTTTTTTCTGCATTTTTTTCCTTTTATTTTTAATTCAGTCCCTCACTCAGACCATCAGGGTTTCCAAATGTGTTCTAAAATCCATTCCTGCAGTGTCTTGACTTGTAATCCTCTGCCTCTTTTAATTAATTTAATTGCTACTGGCAATAAAGAGGCAGAAATCTAACCCACTAACTGTTTGTGTGTCAGGGGCCTTGGCATAGATGGAATAGAGTGCATTGTTGTTTTTCTTGCAGTCGAATAGTTACACAGCTAATTTTGAGATTTTTATATTTTTGTTTCTCATAGCTTTCACTCATTTGGAAAGTAATGAGTGGCACTTGGTGACGGGCAAGATGTGCTGCCAGATAATAGCATTCTGTTACAGTTTTGGAAAGGAAAGATTTCTCATGAATTTTACTGGCAGACTTGATTTCTGACCACCAGAAATGTGTGACTGTTTACAATGTAGGCCATATCTAACATTTTAAATTTAAGTATGCATATCTTAATCTCCGGTATGACACAGATTAATCAGGCGTTGATTGCTCTTACCCTATACCTCAGATATTAGCTATGGTTATCCAGCACTCAACCCCCAGGTCTACTCATACTCTTTCTAGGAACCTATGATGGTCAAGAAGGATTTTCCATGAAAATTTAGGTGTTGCACTCCTACAGACACATTTGGAGGTCTTAGATATAAAATGTTCATTATTAAAAAACAAGACAATGTTAATATTTTGAACCTCAATAAATGTGTCCTAAGAAGAGGAGCAAGGGTGGAAGAATAAAGGGGAACATCTGGAGTAATGGGGTGGAGATAGAGTTTTAGTAAAGGGGGGGGGGATTAGAGTAAACTAGAAAAAAATTCTGATGCTCTAATTAAGTGAGCACTATATTGGCAGGAACACAAACATGTATTCCTGACCCTAAAGGATTACAACCACCATCTAGCTCCCCTGTCCCCCTGGTGCCTCCATAAATATAGTAAAAATCTTACTTGTATTCAAGCCTGCAGCTTGACCTGCTGACATCATCAGAAGTGGTAGCCTGATCCAATCACAATGCTTCCCATAGGATTGGCTGAGACTGACAAAGGGGCAGAGCCAGCACAATTCAAACACAGCTCTGGCCAATCAGCATCTCCTCATAGAGATGAATTTGATCAATGAATCTCTATGAGGAAAGTTCAGTGTCTGCATGCAGAGGGAGGAGACACTGAATGTTTGGATGCATTTTAGACAGTCATGACCCAGGAAGGATCTCTAACAGCCATATTAGGAGTGGCCAGTGAAGTTATCACTAGGCTGTAATGTAAACACTGCATTTTCTCTGAAAAGACAGTGTTTACAGCAAAAAGCCAGAAGGCTATGATTCTACTCACCAGAACAAATTCAATAAGCTGTAGTTGTTCTGGTGAGTATAGTGTCCCTTTAACAAGGCAGTTTAAAAGGACACTTTCGTCACCAGAACAGCTACAGCTATTTATGTAGTCATCCTAAAAAGATACCCACTACAGCTATTATGGTACTTAGAGTATCCCCTTCAGAGACAAGAGCAAAAGCTAAAATAATGTAGAATAAAGAATTGAAAGAGGGATTTTTGGAATGGAGCAGAGATATAATATAACTCTATTCATAACTATACTTTCCTGTATCCTATCAACCAAGTGAATTGAATTCTCTCTGTTATACCATTCCTTTTATACCTGTTAATCCCATCTCCTTCTTGCTTTCAAAAACCCAGACCTATCTTGAGTGCCAGTCTGACCTTTTAAAACCTATTTCCCCATTCAAGGCATATAATTAAGTAGACTTGTGCAAGAGTTAGTTTGGACCAGTTAATCCTAATCAAATTCCTTTTAATCCATTTGAATCGATTCATCTGGGGATTTATCTGTGGAGTCATATTGATTGAATAAGGTAAATTCCAGACATTGGGTTATAGATTTAAAGGAATTTGATTCAGATGAATGAGTAAATAATTTTTATAAAGTAAATGATTTTATCTTTCTTTTACACTGGAATGTTTTTATATATATACGGTTTAACACATTTCCAATGTTAATGACTTAATTACTCAATATTTAGAGAAATACAGAGACCAGTGAAGGATTACAACCCAAAGGTCATAGAAAGAGTATAGGATATACAGAGTGCTGAATTAAATTGTCTATAAACTACTGCTGGGCAGAGGCTTATGCGATATGACCTGTACTCCTCTTAAAAACAACAGAATTACCAGGACTGGCTGAAAGGTTGCAACCACTTTCTAACTCTGCGAGAGTCACATATTCATCCTCACCTTGTGGTGTCTCTGGGGATAACTACCTTCCGGGCATTGGTGAAGATGCTGGTCGGTAGTCCTCTACCGTAGTGCCTGACTCCTGCGGCATATTGAAAGACGCTGGCCACTGCGGACCCATGCCGATTAGTAGCCCCACCTTCACACGCGGTGTTAATGACTTCAGCGCGTGTGTGACGTCATGCTGGGGACGCGCTGGCACGTTCTGGGGCACGGCCAATCGGATTTAAAAGAGATTTATTTAAACTCCTTTCTTGCCTTTCCTCGTTGCCCTGTCGTGGTTTCCCTTAGTGGTTGTCCAAGAGTGTGTTCCTGAGTGTTTATTTCTGGTTATTGACTTTGGCTTCGTTTGACTTCCCTGTATTCTGGTACCCTTGACTTTTGGCTTTCCCTCATCTTTGTGTCTTATTCTGTGTCTCCAACCTCGGCAAGTATTATAACTATTCTCTGGTACATTAAGTCCGGCCATTCTAAGGCCCGGTAAGACGTTGCCTTTTAGTCCTAGGTGTTATACAGTTCTGCGTGCTGGATCAACTAGTATCCTGACAGCGTGGTAGATCACAGGGCACGCTGCAAATCCTGTGGATTTTTGTATAATTAAGGAACTTGAAAGTGGCCATCTTCAGATTTTTTTCCAGTGAATTATCTATACAATCCAGTATAGATGGGGATCAACTGTAGCGTTCCTCTACTGTTTTATAGTGTACAAAGCAATCTGAACACTATACGAGAAAGTTCATTTTATAATACTTGAATGTCATGGTCAGGTAAGATTTTCAAGGCTAAATGCTGATACTAAGGCTGCTCCTGTGTTAGTGGAATAGGATTCGTGGTGGATGTCAAAATGATTATCAGACAGATGTTCTTATAATGTGCCAGATCTGTGCATCTATTTTGTTTAACTACAATAAATGTGTTTCGAAAGCAGTCTGTGTAAATAAGATACATTGTTCTTGTTCTAAATTACATTTTAGCTACATAAATTGTTATTGGTAAATTGCCTAAAATTT